TACAAATATATTTACATTGGCACAACTAAATTTACTGGGATCATAAGTTGACTTAGATAACTAGATGATAAAAACATAACTAACTGATAAAAACATGACTAACATAACTAGATGATAAAAAAGCTATTGTTAACTATCTGTTGCTTGGCTTCGGTGACTTAACTTAAAAAATGGGCTCTTAAAAAAAAAAAAAAGGCTGGCTGGTATCAGGACTGCCATGTTTAAATAACATCCAGGGAAACTGGTCTGAGGGTACATTTCCAGTGGGCAGGGCTGGTGTTTGATGGCTGAAGTTATATCTGATTTCTGTTGTTTGTTGCAGAGCTGTGCAGTAGGAAATCAGCACTCAGTATCTGGGGCTTCTGTGTGATGCTTGCCAAGGGTATGAACCAGCATGCTGACAATGCTCTCATGGTCTTAAGAGCATGTTTCTTAAAAACATTTGCGTTGTAAATAAAAGAAGCTGAATTGGTTGTTGGCCCCTCCAGTTATTGTACCTTTGTCCCTGTTCATATGCATCCAAAGCCTTTTATATACCTCTCTGCAGCATTTACTCCTGTGGATTAGTCGGATAGTATTTGGATTTGATTTTCCTGGTTTTGGATAGCATTTTCAGAAGTGCTGAATCTGTTAATGCCATAGAATAGGTGCAATGGTGGAAATTCAATGTTGGCTGCTACATCCCACATGCCTTCAGTCTGAGATGACACAGCTATTGGAAGCTGCAAGTCTTTTCCATCCTTAATTCATGTTGCCCCTTTTTGTCCTTATTCTTTGAATTAAGATAACTATTAATAAGGAAACCACTACCCTTTGGTACTGTCTTATTTCCTGTAGCCTGTGAAACAGTTATTCTGAAAGTAATGTGTTCATTTGAGCTAGAAATGAAAAGTTCTTGTTCTCTGTAGGTGATCTACAAAACTGTCTCACAACAGTCTGCTAAAAAATGTATGAAAAGATCAAGATGTACTAATTGCCCCTTATTGTTGTTCCCCAGGAAAAAATAGTATCGGAAATAATACATGGCTGATAATATATTTATGTGTTAAATATTAAAATTAAATGAAAATATATGAAATCTTTATATGATATGTTTAAGAAAATTTGAGTACCAGAACTGGTACAGAGGGAGTACTAAACTGCAGAAGCATTGTTTCTTTTAAGCTTTTTTAAGTCAGGTGAGGGGATCACTGTTAAGTGTACAAAGAAGTTGTATTCCTTTTCATAGCCTACCATTATCAGGGGTATAGTGAAGATTTTACCTTGTTGATAAGTACTGTGTCAGGATACAAAAGTGCACCAACCAGATGTTGAATGCTTTATGCGGTGCTCTGACTCAGATTTTCCTCTCTATATTCATGCACATTCTACATCCAAAACTTGAGTCTGGTCTAAATACATGGCTAGATTTGTGGACAAGTGCATGCTAAGTCCATCCTCAAATTGTGCTGCATGCAGCACAAAAAAATCAAGAGCAGGGGAAGAAGAAACCTGATGGTGCTCAGAGAGATCTCAGTTGCACAGAAACAGGCTGTGATTTGGAATGTTGATTATCTGTACTTGTGCTTCCACTCTGAATAGAAAACTCATCATTTAAAAGATTACCTTGTAGATGATGATAAGAGCACATTTTCTTCCTCTGCAGACAACATTTGTGCTGTGTGTACCATTATGGCCTGTGCTTTTATCAGTGATGTAGAATGGAGCTGTCAAAAACTTATAAAAGCTTCTATTAATGTAGATTTATCTGTCTAAGACCTGTGAAATTTATCAAGGACCCCAGTTTTGGCCTCCCTTTCTAAGAAGAGTGTGCAGCTGCACAACAGGGAGTCAGCTCCCCAGCCTTCTAGGAAGTCAGGCATTTGGTTAGTGGCCCAGGTGTGAGAACCCCTAGAGAGCTCTCTGGAGAGCAGAGCTGAGGGATGTTTGCAAACCAGTCCTCTCCTGTTGTTTACTGAGACAGCAGTGTAACTTGGCTGCACTGAGGTGGTGTGGAGTAGCTTAGCATGAGGAACACAAGACCCCTGCTTCTATTGCCCTGCAGCATGCACATGTGTGGATTTGATTGCAGTGTTTGCAAATGTGGCTGAATATTAAAAATTGAAACGCAGTAGTTAGTTTTACTGTATCATCTTTCAGTTTATTGGTACTGAACTTGTTATATAGTGTTGAGAGTTTTAATGCTCTGCTTTTGTTGTCTCTTTTAATATAATTTCATGTATGACACTGAAACTTTCTTTTATCCAGCTGGGCATTTGCAGCTGCTGTATTGATTCCTGCTCTGAAAGTGTTAGCTGATCCGATCCTGGCTGGAAGCAGTAACTTTGAAGCTTGAGATGAGGAGACCCCCAGGAGATTCATATTACTGCCTACCTGGTAGCCAGAATAAGAGCTATTAGAATAGTTTGGGTATCTCCTCACTCCCATTGCCCACTTTTCCTTCCCTCTAGCATTCCATTTTGGAAAACTACTCTTTCTTTCCCTTTCCCTTGTAACGTGAAATACAAAGATATGGCAAAAAAGAAGAAAAAAGGAAAATTAGATTGTACCAGTCGGTGTACTAAGTACTGGTGAACTGTGGATCCTGAACTTCTGGAGGGTCTAGACAGATCAAAATACTGGGATCAAATTATCTGAAAGCAAGATCCAGAGTAACCATTTGATAAGGAAACAATTTCTTGGAGTGGTAGTCTTCAGTCCAGAGTAATCTTTGAAATCAGCCATGCTCTCAGCCACTTGATCACCTCCTTTGAGAGTGGCCACTTGACCACCACCAAATAACTGAGACTCCGAGAAAAGAGTGAGGCTGAAAGATGACCGTCACCAAGTCAAGCAGGGAGAGCACATAGAGATGAAGGTGCTGTGTCAGCCGGTGTGAGCTGGGGCATAAAGGAAAAAACGCCAAGAAAACAGTCAGTCACTCATCCTAAATATCACCAGAGTAGGATTTTTAGACAGAGGGAACAATGACAGCAGCACTAACTCAGATACTTGTTTCGTAGAAAAGGAGGCAGTATTTGAGCAGATCAACAGGGTTTTAACTTGAACACAAATAGGACATCTATTACATTTCAATTGAATGCTCATGAACATACTGTTGTGCTTCCAGAGACACCTCGATTTATTCCAAACGAATAAACACTAAAAGTAAAATTTCAAGTCATTAAAAAATTGAGTTATCTCCATGAAAGGAGGTGGCTAAGTATAAAGAGGAAATATGAAAGAATACAGGCCAGAGAGTATCTGTTACTAGGTTCTATCTGTATCAAAACTGTTGCTCATGGTAAAAAAGGGTTCCTGTACTGGTAGAGCATATATTAGTGTCATCAAGGGAGAAGCTGAAAATGTCTTCAAAGGTAAGTAAATTCTGTAACAATTAGAGAGTTTAGGGGAGGTGTTGCTGAGAAACCTATTTATCTTTTTAAAATTTGTAAAATAAAGATCAGAGAAGGTCTGAAATATTTTATTAAAGCTTCCGATGAACCGTAGGATTGAGGGAAGTTTTCCAAAATGCTGACACGACATCATTCAAAGCTGCAGTCCATATGTCTGCTGGGTGCTTCTGCTGCATTAGCAAATGCTAGTAGGAGCCTGCGTAAGGACAACTTCAGTACGGAGTAATTCATAAATTGGTCGTTCTTATAAAAATTAGTTGGTTTTGTGGGTAGCAGTGGGAGCCGAATGATTTCCAAGTGATTCACTGACCGCCTCATTGTTAACAGTGTGTGCCACATACCTGCAGACCTGAGGTAACAGTTAATTCAAAAGCATGAGTTAGGTTTTGTTCCACTCCTGCTTGCTGAAAGTGCCAGAACTTCACTTCCCACAACACCATTGATGAGCTATTGCTATGCTAGAAATTTTTCAGACCAATCTTTCTGCAACAATGAGCCTGTGAAAGCTGGGAGAATGATACACTGCTGGCTGTTTCCAATCTTTTAATCGATCTCCCCTGTCTAACTAAACAAAGGACCAGTCTCACACAGACAGGTGAGGGCAGCACATGTGAATATCCTGACAAAAAGTAAAATGACTGCAGCGGTATCTTTCTTTGTCAAATGGGTGAGTGGTGTTAAGCAGACAGTAAACCTGCCTCAGCTGTAGCAGCATTGAATTTAAGGGCTTTGTTAACTGCCTGAGGGAAAAAAAAAAAAAAAGCAGAGTGCATTTGAATGCCTTGCAGCCTCTCTGAGCCTGGAATAGTAAGCTAGAAATAACAAGATTGCTATTACATATCAGAGAGGCCAAAAGCTTAGCAGGAATCAAAAAGGATTAACATTTCATAGAGTTGGAAAGAACATGAAGAGTTGTTATTGTTTCTTGAAACAAAAGTGAATTGGGGCAAGTATAAAGCCACCTGTTCAGTATCTAAGCTAGCCCTTTAGTGATGGGAGGTAGGAGAATACTTGCCATCAGGAATTAATGCTAGATAACTCTACATCCCAGGATATATTCCAAAAAAGAGATGGGAGGGAGGGCCAAAAAAAGTTACTTTCTTAGAAGATGTGAGAATGTTTTTGGTCCAAACTGTTTCTTGCACCCTGAATCATTTCAAACAGGATCTGACGCCATTGCCACCTGCTAATGCTTTCCTCTGCTGCAATCACCATTTGGCCTGAACAAGCAGTTCATGTTTCCACTTGGTGGCTGAAGAATCTGCTTTCTAATATTCAGCATGTTAGCAATTCATTATAGACTGGATATTTTATTAGTTATTCATTTTGCCAGAGAGTGACATGATTGAAATCTATTCTGACTTTCACCAAGGTGTATCTTGATTATCTCAAGTAATTCAACAGAGCAAGTGATCAGCACCTTGCCCACGCAGTAACGTTCAGTGGCTGCTGCCACTGTTACTGATGTGCCACAAACTGTGCTTGCTGTGATGCCCTAGCTGTGTATTTCTTACTTTGCTTTAGTCTTTTCCATTAATTGTTGGAAACATTTGTGATATTTAAGGCTCTTGGGGACCTAATCTTACCTTCCTCTCTCCCTCCTAGTGTCTATCAACTTGTTGTCAAGGAGGAAAAGCTGCAGAAAGCACGGAGAGCTGCAGACATCATTGAATGCTTCTCTGTCCCAGTGAGCTACAAGAACGCTTCCAGTCTGGACTCACCACACTACTTTGCAGCTGAGCTGAAACCCATCAACCTGCCTGTCACACAGCCATTCACAGTGGGTGACAACAAAACCTACAACGGCTACTGGAATGCTCCACTTTCTCCCCTGAAAAGCTACAGCATTTACTTCCAGGCTCTTAGCAAGGCAAATGGAGTAAGTGCAGAGAAAATTGTACTGGATCTGTATCTGTGGATATGACCACCTGTGTCTATCCTCCTCATCTTTCTCTTTCTTTTTCCATAGGATACCAGTTTAACTCCTCCTTATTATTACCCTCTTACAGAAATTTGATGAAAATTAAACATGCCATTACTTGTCCTTCAGTCAAGTCTCTCTCTGCTGCCTAGACCCAATGAGGATCTGTTGGGGAGTCAGACTCTGTAAAGGCACATGTTGGCATGTGATTTACAAAACAAATTGTTTAGCATTTGGATTTTTTTCCTTGCATATGCATGAATGTCAGAGTAGGAGCTACTGTGCTTTTAAAAGATATAACTGCAATGTCCTGGCAGTCTCCATTTCACAGCACTTGTGATTCTGGGGGAGACATTATGAGATGAGACCTACCTAAAAGCTATGAGGTTGGGGTTACCTTGTAGCTTGTATTTGGTCACATGGTAATGTAGGATTTACGGTTGTGAGTTTCACCTTGAGTAATTTGTACTACAGGGGGGACTATGTGCATGTCTGTCTTGCTCCTTTTGAACACCCTGGACTATATTTTTACTTACTTTGTGATACTACATTTAAGATAGAGACTGCACAGGAAATCTAGTCTGCCCTGTTCTCAGACCGAAATGACATACATATAATGCCTCAACCTGTCCATCATAGGAAGAGGGAAGGTCTTTTTTCCCTTCTTCTATTCCAGCCTAGTATAGTTTGTGACCTCCTCTTTTAACTCTCCTGTTTCAGGTCAGTTCAGCTAACACTGTCCAGGCCAGATCTAAGCATTCATTAACCTTCCTCCCCTTTGACTCCTCTCATTGTTTTTTATTATCACATAACATGATACAATTTGACACTCCGGCCTCTTGAAGACTCTTAGAGCATTAACATGGCATCAAGAAGTTGGGTAGCTGAGTCTGTTACTAGCACATTTGCTAGTGCTTTCATGAATCTAACTTTAACATAGATAAATTCTCCGAGACATTACCTCTGAAAGCAAAATTAGAAAAATCAATCAAAGGTTTAGGCTTTGGTCTCCACTTGGGATAGTGTCTTTTATACCCAAAATGCAGCCACACATCACAGAGGACTGTACACTGTTTAACGGGCTAGCAATGCCAATGAATGTTCACAACATATCTTGGTGTTTTACTACCTTCATTTATTACCATTCTCCTGCAGAGTTTCTGCTGTGTGGCTGACAAGCATAGATCTCTTCAATACTGTGCTGGTTTTCACATTCATTTCCTTTCTAGTCGATACAGTTTCCTTACAGCACAACTCAATTAATTAAATTTTGGATTTGCCTTTATAAAGGAAACTGTGAAATATATGTATGTGTCTCTCTGTGTCTAGTTAGTTCCCCCTTGTGTGATAGTTAATTGCTAGTGAATGGATCCCCAGGGAAGAAGAAACTTTATTTGCTTAAGTACAATATAATATGCCCTAAATGTGTTATATGAATGGAAATGTAGGCATCCCTTGGCATTCTGGATTAAGGCAGCACTAATGTGTGGTTCCTGCTTTTTCCTGATTACTGTAGCTGCCAGGTTGCATTACACTACATACACAGTGGTAAGGTCTCAAAAAAGGATGACTTGCTTGGGCTGTCCTGGCAGGAACATGAGATTGTAAAGGACTTTTTAAGTATAAGTTAGTCAAAAGAGTCTGTATGCAACAATACACATTTTATGACAGCACAAGAAATATTCTGCCAGACAAAGTGAATTCCTGTTTGAGCAAGCAATTGCCTCCTATGTTAAAAATTTATATTGGTACAGTATATGCTTATATATCCTCAGTGTAGTGCTATGGGAAAAAATGTAGAGGAAATGTCCAAGAGTGGAATGTGGATTTTCAGAGGAGTAGCTGTGATGCTTTTTGTTTCGTGATAAAATCCTTAAGCCCCACATTTCAAACATTAGGGCCTGATTTGCATCCAGTCTTTTGCAGCTGTATTAAGTTTTATTTAATTCCATTAATTGTTTACAGGTATAATTAATATTTAAAAGTTCTGGGTTTTCACTTACATCTGTAACCTGAGCAGCTTTGACTGGTCTTTGTAAAGCCTACTAATAATTATGGCCACATCATGGCAGTTTTGATAATGCACACCTGCAAAAAATCTGAAACAATAACAATTTAGCACAATTAAAATATAGCCTTATGTTCCCTTGCACATGAAAAACTTAACAGAACACTGCCACTCATTTTTTAATTAGGATATTCTATAGTTTCATTAATCACTGACAGTTGCGGAATGATGAAACTTCTTTCCACACCTGGAACCTGCAATGAGAAATCTTTGTGCAGTGAACCAGAACATCTTCTTTTGGAAATGCAGGACTCTGGGGACAGTTTAATTTGAAGAAACATTCTGTATTTGGTCAAAAAGCTTGATTAGGAGGAGGTAGAATTGTTACCGAAGTTCCGCATTGTTTCAGCTCCTCTGTGCCTGGCGGGTTGTGCTCATTTGGTGTTCTCGTCTGCTCTGCAGCCATTAGCCGTGATTGTTACACTGAAAGGAATGTAATTAACAGCTGGATGCAAAACAAGTGTGGCAAATTGCTGCAAAATCAGATCACGAGGTTTTCTGCCTTCTCTTGTGCAATGTTGTTGTTTGAGAGTTTGAATGAGATAGCTGTTGCTTGTTGCTGGCTGAATTCTTTTCTGTGGAAAGTTGCACGAAGTTTGGTCAACGCGGCGTTGCTTCCAGAGAGGGGTCTAAATAGAACAAGTGTGAAACAGATTGGTTTTCAGCTTTGTTATACAAAACGCTTCCAAATTGTGTGAATTTCTCTCCTAGGGACTGTTGAAAGCCAGATGCTGAACTGAAATGTGTCAGTTTGAAGTAAGAGGGGAAGAAAGGGAGAAGAAAACAGAAGCTTCGGGTTTTGTAACTGGGCATGAGAAGCCCTGTTGCTGTTTAATTGTTAGGAGTTAGCACAAGAAGTGGCACAGCAAGAATGGACAACTGGCTTCACTCGCCTCTGGCAGGAACTCCACACACACTGTCGCAGCCATCCAGGTAGTTAGTTAACTGATGTGTGCTGGTTGTCCTGGTGCCACCTGCTCCAGATGGCTGCCTGACAGAGCATGACGTTTTCCTTCTCTGAAAAACCTCCCTGAGCTCAGCCCCTTTTAAACACCGGGCCTTTCAGTGTTTCTCTCCCTGAAAGGTGAGACCAGGATGTCAGCACCAATGTTACTCCTTATCCTCTCTGATCCTTATACTGACTTAATAATCAAAGTGAAGTGTTGCAGGTTTTGCTGTCCCCAGGTTCTTTATCTGGGTCATTGTAGGTGACAGTTTCTGGTTACTGATCCAGCAACACACTCAAATGGGGAGAATTTTTTGGCTGCTGTGTAAAACCTGCCTGAATTTTTGAGCAGTTCAGAAATGAGAGCTTCCTAAAAAACCTTCCTGGAGTTGCATTTTACCTCACTGAGTTAAACTGTTAACTGTAACAGCACAGTTGCAATCAATAACTTTTGGCCATTTTTCCTCTAATTGAGAGATGAGGCAGGAGCCCTTGTACCACAGCTGGACATGATGTGGGAGATGCTGCCAGCTGTCCCTGCAGCATGGTGGTCCAACAGGTGAATGATGTTTTCAAGCCAGAATTGTGAAAAGTAACACCACAGGAATCAATGAGAATATTATTTTTGAGGGAATGACAGACTCTAAGGAGATTCTTATTGATTTTTTTTTTTCCTCTCTAATGACTTGTACTACATGCACAATCGGGCAGTTCATTATTATCAGGGGACTTCAGGCAGGATTTCTAGATGCTGACAAGTCTAGTCACAGTACACAACATTCCTCTCCTGGGACATTGTGGAGGTATGGATACAGATGCCAGCAGAGAGGTGGCATTCATCCCTGTGGAGATGGCTTGTGAAAATAAAAAAGTGAGATACTACAGTTCAACACGAGCCGTGTTCTGAAAAATGAAGTGGCACCAAGGCTTTAAACAGCTTTGAGGAGCTCTGTGTTTGGTAGGATTTTGGGTGTTACAGTTTTGTTCACTTACATTTACTCCTTCTTAATCTCATGTTGGAGTTGCTGGAGCAGAAATAAAGCAGCTGTGGAAGCATATCACTCTGTAAGCCCCTGTTTCCACATCTGGTTGGCCATCTTGGGCCACAACATGTGGATCTGAGTGTTTTCTGCGTAGTTAATAAAATCATCCTCCAGTCTACCTCACATTCAAAAGATGTGGGTTATTCAACGATTAACTATATGTCATTGAAATAACTTTCTATTGTAAATAATAAAAGCCCTAACCACTTTGTTAAACCTCCCTTCTCCAAATGACACAGATTCTAAAAATAGCTGATAATTGGAAAGGCCATACAAGATTTGCTTAGTCTCTTGGAGAACTAGCAGTTTCCTTAAGCTGTCAATAAGAATTATAGGGGAGTCTATTGACCCTGCACAGACAATTTTAAAGACAGCAAACAGTTGGCTTCAGTGGGATGAAGAAGCAGCACACAGTCTAGAACTCCCCTGAACTTGGGCAAAATTTGTTGAAGACCAAAAAAATAATTCCTGAAGATGTTCAGTGGACAGAACCATGGTTTCTATCCTGCGTGAAGCAGGTTGCCAACAAGCATGCTTAGTGTATAGCTCTGGGACATGGGGAACTGAAGTTGTAACTGAGGCCAAGTGGGAGATGGGCAATTACTTGTCTTGTCTGTGTACCAGCAAAAGTTAAAAATGCCTCTCCCTGATTTGAGCTGCCTGATGAAACTTTGCTTGTTGCAGGGCAGCCCCGAACGGTACATCTGGGGACAGCAGGTCTCACTGGTGCTGACAGGTGGTTCTTCAGGCAAAGCAAGCACTGTTTAACTACTGCAAAGCATAATAATAGTAAAGGAAAGAAAAAATTGTGGGTGTGCAAACAGATGGATGAAAAAGCTCTGCTTCTTTTATTGTTATTCGTAATCTGTAAACAGCAAGCTGTCATTTTGAAAAAAAATTAAAAAAAAAAAAATCATTCGTCCTTTTAGGTTGTGAAGATGCAGCTGTCACATAAACGTATGTCCTGGTGCCCTCATAGCCCTTTTCTGCAGAAAATTGTTCCCATCCAAACACTGAAGAGACAGAGGCAGAACTTGTCTTGTTATCATCCAGTGTACTTGAGTGAAACGTGCATTTAGGAACCTAAGTAATTAGCAGATGGCATCAGCTACCTTGCTTTGACAAAGAGAGAAATGAACTATATTAAAAGAATGTTTAAAAAAAAATTTGAAAATCCAGAGGGATGCTAAAACAGGCTCCTGGCTGTGTGCATGAGCTCTATCAGCAGGAGGGCTTACCCAGCTCCTCAGCACAGTCTGTGTTCCCTTCAGAGGGTCTCCTGCTGGCTCTGCCCTCCAGGAACACTCTGCCAGCTCTCCGAGCCACAGGCCTCAGCTGGTCTCTGCACATTTAGCTGGGGCTCAGCCTGGAGTGAGGGTATGCAGTAACTATGCTTTATTTACATAGTTACCTTCTAGTAAACATGTAGATGGGCTAATACACAGTAAGATTTCTGGGTACAAAGCATGTTGGAAAGCAAAGGTTGGATCAAGAGCTGTAGGACATATTTATCACTGTTTTCCTATACCAGGATCTCGGTTAAAGTGTGCCCACATTGTTCTGTTACTGTTTGGACACTCAACATCTGCCGTAATCTGGCAGTGATAGAAAGCTGAAGTGGTAGTGCTAGTGGGATCTTGAACTGAATTATTGCTGTGACTTCAGCCATAATACGAAACAGGTATCTTATGCTGAATGTGTAGGAACTTGAGTCATCATTAAGATTGTTGTAGACATAAGGCATTGTAAAACTTCTGTGATATCATAAAATGGGAATCAGAGCATTTGAAAGAACATTCAAAAACAACACAGAGTAAAATTTGTGGAAATCTTTTTCTCTTTCTTAAAAACTTTTTAATTATCTCTTTATTTCATTATTTTTCTTATAATTGCTTTAAGCCATCTGGATGGATAATTGAGAATTACCGATGTTTATTCCCACTTTACTATTGGCTAGACAGAAGCACCTTACTTTACTGAGGGCAGGAAACCAAAGTCAAAAGTAGTATTTTTCAGAAGACAAATGTGACTATGGGAAAATGGTTTTACTGAGGCTTTTTTTGAGAAAAAAGTGTATTTATTCTGTTTCTTGGTAGAAAATTTCATAGAAACTCCCAATTCTCAGCATTCTCAGAATCAATCAAATTAAAATAGAGTAAATTTAAAGAGATCTCATTTTTTTGAGACACCAAATTGATGAGCAGTGGGTTGATCAATGAGGTCATCAATGGAAATTGATTGAACAATCAGCCGTAATCAGGAATATGGACTAAGTTCAAGTCTTTAAAATTTAGCATCCCTAGTAGCTGGACATCTGGTGTCTGTGCAGGTTTTTTATGTTTTCCTTCTCAGAAGTTGCAATTTGAAATGGAGTTCTGAAGTCCAGATGTCTTGTTCCTCTAGTGATGGATTGCTGTTGCTTTTGGCAGTGCCAGATCGTGGTCTTGTAATAACTGTGATTGTGCTAAATGCAGCAATTATTAGATGTGGATGGAAACAGAACACACTGCATCCTGTCTTCTCCAATTACCCTGTGGGAAGGTAATGTGCAGGAATGTACATGCTCAAATGAGATCAGTTACAGCATCATTAACGAGATCTCAGGTTTTGTTTTCTCACCTCTTCTTTCTCAGCATTGACTAATCTCTCCAGTTTTTTGTTGCACTTTGAAGCTAGCAGAAAGCAACAAATACACAAGAAAGTTTTCCTCAACAGAATGTGAGCAAGTGTCCACCTACTTTTAGACTGCAAAAATGCAATCTTGATATTTTTTATTTTATTTTTCATCGCTGATTTTCCAGGTCACCTTGTCGTAGATTGTAAACTACATCAGGATCTGTCTTATAATTCCCAGCATTATGTGCTGAGACTGTTCTCTGAAAACAAAGCTGTGGTTTTCCTGCTTCATATATCATCACTAACAATAAATATTTTGGATTTCCAGAATAGCTGGCAATTCGAGCTGATTATACATGAGGCAGTGACAAATGGGGAGCTCTGTTGTACATCTGTGTTGACTTTGCAGTGCTGACGGTTGTACAGGTAGTGTAGGGGAGTTGATTTTTGAGGGAGAGAAGGATTGGTGCACCAAAGAGAGATGCTCTGGTTTACTGGGAGAAGCTGCTTCAGTCCCACTCTGGGGGCAGTATGGCTGGAAGAGGGTGTCCTTAATATGATTTGTCCTTGGTGATCCAGGAGTTGTTAAGAGAGTTTGAATGCAAGATCAAAGGGACAGTTTGTCCTTGTGAATATCTTGTGGTTTCTAGACTACGCACAAGTTGCTTATAACCAGATAGTCTGGCTGACTGGTATCTTGAGGTGTGCATAGAAAGGGATCAGAGGGAATTGCTCTTGAGTTTCCTGGTGTGGATCCTGCAATTGTCCCCTTCCTACGTGCAACCTAAGTGTGAGGAGAAAGGCACAGTGTGTTTCTGCTCAGGCCAAGGAGGGTCTGTCACAGGTAGAACAAATTTTTTCCAAGAGCAAATTCAGACTTTCACAGTATTCATTCTACTGCTCGAGGATGGAATGGGATGCTCAGCAATGCATTTGCTAGGCTGTTGTTTCCAGAGTACAGACAGCATCCATATTAATGTAGCATTGTTACACATAGTAATTTATGCAGCATTCATTACACCTGAGACATGTACAAGAGCGTGTAAAGACATAAAGTGCTATGAAAACTCTGCAGTAGATTACTGCCTGACAAAGTCAGCTTTTTAACCAAAGCAACACATTAAGATTTGGACAGCAATCGTGCGTTGGACAGAAGCAACCTGTGCCAATAAGGGCTGTAGAATGAGGAGCTGGGGATACCAGAAAGGATGTGTTTTCAGCAGAGGCAGCCTGAGAATGCTGCCGACTTTGAGCTGTTAGTTAAGCCAAATACAACATTGCTGTTCCGATCCAAACTCCTGTTCATGCAGATCTGCAGGCTCTGAGGTGGATTGAACAAAAGCGTTGGTTTTTATCCCAGCTCTGCAATGAAAAACTGCAGTGGTGTGGGTTGTGTTTGAATAGCTCATTTGGCAGAGCTAGCCATACAGCATGCTGTTTTGCTTCACATACATATCAGAGAGCTGAAATATTCAAATGACTACTTCGGTGTCTGTTTGCCATATGTTTAAATAAATACCCAATTTGCAAAATTTGCAGTAATGGTGCATGAAAATTAGATGTACAGTTGCATGTACTTTTGACCCAGGGCTTGTCTGCCTATTACAGATCAGGTCATTTAACTGGTAAATTCTATTAGTTAATCAGGCAGTTACGCGGGACCCATCACTCACACATCAAGTGTGGGGAAACATGTTGTCACTCTTAGCTTCTCAACAGTTAGAGAAGCAGCTGTAGGCAAGTCCATTAGTATGGAGTGTTTTATGCAACTGAAACTGTTGGTGGTATTTTCAGAGGTGGAGTGTAAGAAAAATGCTTATTTGTTTTAGTACCTTTTTAAAGGAATGTATATTTACTGTAGATGGGCAAATTGCACACCTTGATGTTTTCTTTTTTTTTATTATTTTTCAGGAAACAAAAATCAACTGTGTCCGGCTGGCAACAAAAGGTATGTGTGTCTCTCTTTACTGCAAAGCACAGTGCCAGTAATGTAAAAGCTGCAGTGGTGACACAACTTGATTACAGCTACTATTCAAAGAATAAGCCTCTTCCTTTTCTTTTCTTGCTTTTCCTCTTTTCTTTTTTTTTTTTTTTTTTTAATATATGGTGGATTACAAAGGCAGAACAAGAATTTTCAGAACTACTCCACTATACATGTGGACTCTGTTATTTCTTTAAGACAGGGTATCTTTCTCTCTCTGCCTCTGCCATTCCTCCTTTCCCTTATTCCGTTGACAGCTTTCCTCTCCTGAGGACTGTTCTTGCTATGGACAGAACATCACTGAAAAAGTGACGTTAACTTCTATTAAATTCGTCCTCTCTGCAACTATGTAAAGTAGATAAGTAAGAGGAGATCTTGTGTAAACCTAACTTTGAATACCACAGGGCACAATTCTTATATCACACCATTTTTATGGTGTAATTCAACAAACCAGTAGAGTACATTCCTTATTTTCATTGTGATTAGTTCAGAATAGACCTAACTGATAGGTCAAATAGACCAGACCCAGCAAACCCAAGACAAATATCGTTATTGTTCAGATATTATTATATTGATCCCCAGGTTGCTTCACAAGGTGTAGCTCTTGAGCGACCAATGATGACAATGTCTGGGTTCCTTCTTCAAGTTTAGAGTTGCTTTTAACAACTCTTCTAAGGACTTCAAAATCACCCCAGGGACTATGTTGCAAGCAAAGGTGTCAAAAACCAATTTACTTGTAACACAGAGCAGCAGCTGTATAAAGATTTCCTCAACACATGTAATAGCCTCAGAATGAGCTGTAAGGAAATGATAGGGTAATTGCCATGGGCCGTGCTACAGGTAGCTCTCCCTTTTCAAAACTTGGGATTGCCATCTTGTGCTCTCGCTGCTTTGCTGTAATGTGGGCTAACTACATTTCTGCCTGTGGAGTCTTCTGAGAGTTAAACCAAATTCGCTGGAACCCGTGACCTTTTTTTTTTTTCACTTTGAGGCACCATCCCATTTTTTCAATTCTTTTCACTCCTTTCTGTCCTGTGGCAGTAACAGAAGTTAGGTACTTTCTCCTGATCAATTTTGTATCTGCACTTAGAGGAGCTGGGAGAGCTTAAAGAAACCCAAGCTAAGAGTTGTTGGGTAGCAGCAGAGGACTTTTTCTATCTTCATATGGAGACATCCCCCAGTCTGTTACAGGCCGTGTGCTGGGATAGCAGTGCTGCATGAAGTTCCCAGTTTTCACTGCTGAGACCTGATACGCAAACTGGTGGGGCTGTAAGTAGTTGTGTCACCACTGAAAGCCAAGGAGGATGAGCCATTTCTCCCCTTTCTCCTTTTCATCTGTGGCTCTGGTGCTCCCCATATCCTCTTGTTGCTTCCCTTTTAAAAAGTTCCTTGTAAACTCTTTAATTAATTTGAGTTACATTCTGTGTGTCTTAGTCTCCCCTCCTTCCCCCTCAGTTTTTCCAGCTGGTAGTGACGTGACCATTTTGAATACCTTATTTTGGCTTTCTGGTGGTAGGAAGAGCAGGACTAAATAAGATGAGTCTGAGTGAAATGAGTCTCCTCAGGGCTGAGCATGGCTAGAGGTCTCTTCATGAGATCAGAGAAACTGGATAAAGTCATGTTTGGAAACCTATAGTTTCTTCTGTATCAGTTGTTCCATTTTCTGGAGCTGGTGGAAGAATGTTGTCATATTTGCTCTGTGACTATTCAAAGAAAAATAACCTAGGTACGTTTGAAAAGTCCCATTCTTGCATGACCTTTTGATTTGCACTGTCTGATTTGGGTACTCAAGAAAAGTGTCACATAAATATTTGACCTTGAGTTGGCTTCTGCAGACTGATTTAATTTTCATTAACCTGTTAGGTCACCAGGAAGTGTCAATAAGCTACCCTCATTCTGTTGTTTGTGAATGTCATCTCTTTTAAAAAAGGATCCACTAATGTTAATTTGGTTAGAGACATAACAGAGATGAGTAGAGCCTGAGGATGCCTAGAGCCACTGCTTTTTGGTGATTTTATTCTTTGGGATTTTTCTTGATTGACATGCATGAAAAAGCACAAGAAGTGATGGCAATTCTAGTCTTTATTCTCACTGTCTCAATGGATATCACTGTTGATTTATAGGCAGATATCTTATTTCTATATGTGGAGTGTAGAAATCTCCGTGGAAACTTTTCCTTCTTTTTTTTCTCTTATCCTCACTCTGAATTGGAGTGTTATGTTTCTTGGTGCCTGACCATTAGCAGGGGCACTGGAATATGCACAGCTGTGACTAATTTTATGCAGTTTTAGCTCTTGAAAGGTGCAGTGTTGCCTGCAGCTCACAAGCAAGGTAGCATCACAACTGAAATCTGTAGTCTTGATACCATAACAGTATCTTCCATTGCTGGCAGCTGTGAAGTCTGAGCAACGTGATTCTGTGGTTTGGAGCTTTCCCATTGTTTCAGATTTCTGTATGTCCTGCGGCTGAATTCCCGCCATATGTTGACTCCATATGAATGAAAGGACTCAGACACTCCACATCCCAGCCCCTGAAGAGGGGTGTTGCATCTGTCCACTCTCTGCTGTGTGGCAATGGACAGAGACATTCACAAAACTATAATTACATTGTGACCTGATCAAAGGCTGATAGCTGGGATGTTCGAGATGACCTACTGTGTCTGTGCTGTCTTCTGTCTACTCATTATATTGATTATCTTTAATGGCATTGCCCTGTATTTGCCTTTATTTTCATCATTGTCTTTCTGAAGGTAGAATGAGAGACCCTGTAGTCTGCCTTGAATGAAATAATCAGAGCTGCAGCAAAGACACTGCTGTGGTGTCTTTGGTAAGAGTCAGATAAAAACCCTTTTTTGGAGATGGTGCTAATCTCGGCATTGACAGCTTAAAAGCTCTGCTTTGAGTTGGTACTCTGAGCATATTTTGTTTTGACGCAAGAAAATAAATACATACTACTGGTGCCAGACTAAATGTTCATTTTGGCATATAGGCCTAATTTCTCCATTCCTAGAGATGACACTGCAGTAGTTCCATTAACTTCGGTGAAATGAGTTCTGATTTACACCAGTGACAGGAAGATAAAGATCAAGACATGTTTAAGCAAAGCAAGTATTCTCTTGAAGTACTAGATTAACAAGGGCACTAAACGTGAGTGTGGGAGTAATTAGGCAATAAAATGTGTTAGGCAGTGTGTTACTGGGGGATTATAACACATCTTGGGTGTTGCTGCAAGGCACCTGCTCAGAAGCTGAGTAGCTTTAATTACTTGAGGGACGCATGAGGCTGTTCCACTGTCACTACTTCAGCAGGCTGGGAGGCATTTTGCTTTGTATGTCCCATTGCCTCAAAACAAAGAAAATTAAAATAGACAACTCTTTTAAAAGTGTTTTAGTCCATTAAAGAGAGTTCTTGAGATTTCGTAGTTTTCTCTCCTCCCCTTTTAGCAAGAAACGAACTGTTCAGATTGATCCCTTCTCAGCTCAGCTCCATGCAGGAGCTGTTGCTCATCTCTCCCAGTGGTGCGCTCTTAGATGAACTTGATTCATGTGCTGCAAGAAGGATCTCTCAAATCTTTGTGTATTGGCTTATTAAATGTCGCGGAGGAGGAACGGGTCAGCATTTCAGAGCAGTAGGTCATGACACCAGTAGTGCATCCTCCAGAGCAGAGCTAATAGATACCCAGGTGGGCAAGCACCTCTGTTGAGCTCTTTTCCTTCCGTCCGGCGTCTCAGTACAAGAGCTGGCTGATGCCAGTAGAAAGGGCCAGTGGCAGGGACTCATTGTCAGCCTTTGCTGTGGTGACATTAGACAATCCATCAGAAAGCTCTCTGCGTTTGTCCAGTCTGTGTAGTCATCTCACATTTTGACAGCATGTTTTAAATCCACAAGCATTATTAACCTTTTGTATCTACGTATGTATTTATTTTCAGATTAATTGGTCTCAGATTTCTTACCACTTCCAGCCATAAAAACCTCTCCTCACATGGGCTACTCCTCTTTTTTAAATTACTGGAGTAATGTCATCTTTCACAGCATTAATCATTTGGATGCATATCATTAGCATAAAATACTCTTTAGAAATAAGTTTCTAATTAAACCCCTATTTACCAGCTCTCTGCCATACAATTTTCATTCAGCCAGTTTATTTATTAGTTTTGCCATTTGGTTTCCTTGATAGCATTTGTTTTAATGTGTCCCATTCTTTCTGAATTAACTGACTTATTCTCCCTGACTTAAAGCAACATATTTATATTGACATTTTATTAGAGAAAATTGCAACCTCTTACTAAGAGAGAACGATTACCTCTTGTATTCTTAAAGTGCATTAAATTAATTTCACAGTGTAATTGAAACCAAGGCAGAGGGCTCATTAATGGTTCCTTATCTCTTGATACTCATTTCTTCTTTCTTTAAAATGTGAATTCTTGCAAATAAAAGAACGAAACTTTAACAATCATTATGAGGTACATTTTTATTTTTTCCTTTTTCTTTCTTGTGCATGCTGCCTGGGAACGATTTTGCTTGTTCTTAGCAGTAATAGGTAGGCAACAGGTGACCACGCGAAACCCACCCAGCCTCTTGAGCACAGGTGATTATCAGTTCAGGAAAAGGAAAACTGTTCAAACTTCCAGAAGTCTGAGCAGCTTCATGACTGACTTCCTGTGTCATATTCAGTTTGCATGGGAAAATGCTTTGACAATTATTCGAACTACAGTATAAAGGGGGCACTCCTTACATTGTCAGTCCTTGTGCACTGAAGTGACGATGTGCCTGTGCACAGGGTCATCTGCAGGTCCAAACACCACTTAACTCTTCATAGGAGCACTTGAGCATGCCTGAAGAGCACCATAGATCCCTTGTTGGCCTTCTGCAGAGACTGTCTCCCTGAGCATGCATGGAGATTACCTTGCATTTTTGAATTAAAGTATAATAGCTACGGCATTTTCTGGGGCTGATTATTACGCTTACTCGTAGACCTCTGAGTCCTGCTGTTGAAGAAATGATCAGCAGGAAAATGAAAACCAGATTCTGTCAGGCCTCTATATAAAAACATCTGCTGGAATCAGAGGTGTTGCAGAATCGAACCTCAGTAGCACTGTGTAAAGTCATACACAGATCACTAGTGGAAAGGTTCAGAACTCTCAAGGACTTTGCAGTTTCCATCAGGATAAACTTGAAGGTCTGTGTATCATAAACTTGCCTAGTTGTGTATAACACTGGGACCAGTACCATCACTTCACAACTGAAAATTTAGATATAGAGAGGAAATCCTTTCAGCTTGTGGAAATAGTTTCTTTTACTTCAGCCTGTTGTGCACATAATGACATATTGGGATGTAACAGAGTTATATGTGATGAATACGAAAGGGAGGGGAAAGGAGGGCTGGTTTCTTAGTTTTGAGATGGATTAAATTTTTGTAGGAATGTTCCTCTTCCAGTGCTGCTGCATGGTTATATTCCTGTCTAGCAATGACTTCCTCACCTAGGAATTATTTTAGCTACACATTAGGGCAACTGTAATGATACAGGGGCAAAAAGATACTGGGATTACTGTGAAGTTCAAGTGCCTTTCAGATTGAGAGAAATGGTCCTGCTTTTTTGTCGTGTATCAGCACTGAAAAAGAGAACTTCCTGGGAGATGAGTGCTTAACAATCTTGAGACGTCAGAAATGAACCTGGGTCTGAAAGGTGACCAGTGAAATCATAGAGGGGAGACTGGAAAAAAACAGTGGAAAATGAGGAGGAAAAAAATTCCTACTGTTTACCACAGGTTTGCTGCATATGAAAACTGTTCATTTAATAGGTCTTGCTCCCTCAAATTAGTTTAAGAGGGCTCTGCTGTTTTCTGAAATATATTCTGGTTTTATAGACAGACAACGTATTTTTTAAACAGATCTAATCCCACTTCAAATCTGTTTGTTATTGCATTTTGTCTTCTGATACACTGCAATGTTATTCCTTGGACAGGTTTATTCTGGTTTGTGCTGTTTATTTCAGAGGGTTTTATTACAATTTTTAAGTTGAATGCATGAAAATGGTGTGGGGTTACTTTTGTTTTGTGTTTGTTTTGTTCCCCTGAACAAATATCTGCCTCCTAAAAGTTATTTTTTAGCACAAGTTTGTGTATCACTATAATTGTTAATAACAGATACACATTGCTTTTACTAAAAAATATTCTCCACTGAGAAGACAACTCAAACTTCCTAACACGTAAATGCCCACTTAACCCAGTGAGCATCTTTATTTTCACTGAATTTGTTACCAAGACTTACTTAGAGGGATTTAAAATGTTGACTTCAGGGGCCTCCTTAACCAAGGGAGCTAATGAACCAACTTTGAAATAGTGAAGTACCTGATGCAAGACTGGATGAGGCCAGAAGTGGACTGAGTCTGATAACCTCAGACCAGTTTCTAGAGGACCTTGTCTACTCCAGAGCTCTGCTGTACTGACAGACCCTAATCTTGGGCTCCCCAATTTAGATAAGAGTGGGAGGGGAGAGGCTAGAAGAGGCACGACATTTAAGGTAGAATTTGGCATAGATCAGCAACAATAGACTGAAAATATCACCTCTGTAATCCAAAGCATCCGCTGCTGGAATACACTGGGTCGCTTCAGAAAAGAAGGGTCTTTAGAAAAAGCAGATTAAAATTGATTATTGGTGTGTGAGCCAAGCTCTTCTGGAATCAAAGCAGACATAGATTTACCTGGAGTATAGTGGAGGCTGTTGTCCCCTTGCAAGACCCGGCTGGTGTGAAAGGATGCTGTTGGCCATGTGTTGTGCCTGTGGCTGGTAGGTTCTGTAATCAGCTTTGTTTTCAGATGAACTGGTAGTCAGGCAAAGCAGGGGGAAAGAAAAAAGGCAGTAGTTGGACATTAAAGCCAGAAGTGAAGTCAAATCAGAAAGGATTTGTTTGCTTTATTTAGTTTTAATGCAAGGAGCAATTCATGATGACTCGCTTGTGAAATTCAGAGTTGTTTTTTTCCCCTCTCTTCTGGTTGAAGGTTTGTTGGAAGAACTGTCTGAATGGCCCCTGAAGCCTTCTGCACAGGGGCTGAGGGATGGGCCAGAGGAGGGAGCAGTGCAGGTGAAGAAGAAGTTCCTAACCTTCATATGCTGACACCAACTTATTTGGGTAGCCAGTATTTCTTCTCCATTTCATGATATCTGGAGATACTTTCTAAGGTGTATCAGGTCAGGTACTGTGCATCACTTAAAAAGGTTTTCATAAACAGATTATCAGTGTCCTTAAACAGCACTTCCAAAGGCATGACAAACCCAACGCGGTTATAAATACATTATGCCTCTGTTTCCTTAAATGGATTTTTCAATGAGCCAATGTTCAGAAACATGGTTGTTAATGCATTAGCTTCTCAGTTTCTTACAGGAACTGGACATATAAAATCTATATGGCAGTTTTAGGATATGTGGCAATACCACAAGGAGGTAGGTATGAAAGAGACTGTTTCATAATACCACTGTAGCAGGAAAGAAAAATCTTCATTCAAGACATGCTTGGAAGTGCTGCTTCGACTTGGCAAAGTACAGAAAGTTTCTCAGTATTTTATGCAGCACACGTAGAGTGTGTATGCACAGACTCCCTAATGCAGTTGGCCATATGACTCCCTTTTTACTGTAAAATGGTGAATATCCTCCTTTGCATGCTGCTCAGCCAGCTCGAGGGTGAAGCCTTATCGGGCACGGTTTTTGTAGGCCACCATGGTACTTAAAGCACCTTTGACCAGCTGGGCTTGGGAAGTGGCCTTATTTTAGTACTCATTTTATACCTACCTCTGGACTTTGCTCACTGGTTTTGTAATTTCTGCAGGTGGTGTGTCTGTGGATTTTTAATGATAACCATGATAGCAGAGTAACTGCTTAGAGGGGACTGGCTGGTGCAAAGGTTAATTAGGTTTTGTTCACAGGGTGCAACAAATCTATTATACATCCATAGCATTGTCATGCCCTGTAAAGGTTTTGCCTGTATCAGTCCAAAGATTGATCTCCCTGCATCTGTTTAAGACCATACAAAAATTAAGTCACATCTGTAAATTTGAACTTGTGATAATGGGAATTTTACTTGTTTTCTATTTTTATCATTTCAAGCTAGTTTCTAAATAGCTTTGCAAAAGTGGAGAGTTAAAATGAAACCATTCTATCACCCTCTGAACCATTGCATCACTTGTAGGCATCACAACAGCTGCTCTTTATCTGACTCTTCTTTCAAGTAAATGCAATAACCTTTCTCATTCTTGGAGGCTGTATATCTGCCTTTAGCACAAATTAAGTGCTTCTGTTCTGAAGAGAGGAAGAAAAACAGGAGGAGAATAGAAAAGCCTTTGTGGTGGATTTACCTGGAATCTCCAGAATCAATTATTCTCTTACTGCTATTTTTTAATTCTCATTCAGTTTAGTAATGCTAATCTTGATTCCTCACTGTGTGTTTACTCTCATCCTCCTACAGATTCAACCTGTATGCCTGATAATCCCTCATATAAATTCTGGTCTGTCTTTCTCTCCAGGACTGCTTTGTTTTGCTGCTCTCTCCGTTCAGAATATGGTTGAAAGCTTTTGGCTCTCATCATTCTTTCCATTCCTTTTGAGCTTTTTTAAGGAAATGAGAATGTCTCATTGTAGCCTTAAGCCTGTGCTGTTTGCGGTCTGCAATAACTGGAGGTGGAAAATTGGTGTAGTGATGTTACGTTTAGTGATACTCTTGGTGGTATTTATTCTTATAATTAATTACAACAAAGAAATAACCAAAGTGGAATCTGTCTTTCAGATTTAGTGAGCTGTTTCACTTTGTTGGCTTATGCAGAAGCACTGGCATCGTGCGTAGCTTTTCTTAGGCCCAGTGCTCTGGTATGCAGTGCTGAAGGTTGCAAACTAGTGTCTTCCCACAACCCATGCATGCAGCCAGCTGAGGCACAGGGCTGTTGCTGGGTAGTGCTGGCTAACCAGTATTCCGGATCAAGATGTAAAGCAGTGCCCTTGCACCTTTATCTCAATATCATCATTATTAGAGATACCTGTCTGCCCTTGTGTTTGTGTATCAGAGGCTATGTTTCAGAAGTACAGATATAATCTGGATCTGAAAACATTTCTACATGTAGAGATGGTTTAATAATTTGTAGGCCACTCGCATAGAAAGCACCATAAGAACAACAACAAGGAAAAAAAAAAAAAAAAAAGAAATCGTGTTTACAAGTGATTTGAGAATAACTGTCTTTTGAAAATAAGCCTCTAGGTCTATTAGGAAATTTTACATTCAGCATGCTGCCTGGCCATTATGTGCTACAAAGAAATTACTCTGAGCAGCTTATTTTAACTCATAATAACTTGGAACCTATTATTTTTCATACATTTTTCTGGATTAAATAATGCATGGAAGTTATTTTACTGATTGGATTTTGTTTCAAGAGTGATTTCTACCTAAAGGAGTTATCTTCTTAGGTGTTAAAAATCTGAAACCAAACGTAGTCTTTGCCCAGCTGACTTGTCCACTTCTGGGTCTTTCCTATCATCTGGCTGTGGTTGAACCTCCCATTACTTTCATTGCCTGTCTCATTTTGTCCCTCCCTCATTTACAC